ACTGTTCCATACGCCCAGGCCGGAACCCTCTGTCGGCTAGGAAACAGCTCCTCACTGCTGGAAGCACACCCACATAGTCCTTACCTGGAGACTGTGCCTCTGGACACTGAACTGGGGGTTGCCTGTGAAATGGTCACAATGTCTTCGTCCCCTCCATCCTCATAAAAGCTCGCCAGGGCGATCTGAAACAGAGAGGTAGTTACTTGGGATCCTTAAACAGGCCTTCATCTAACACATAACTCCTCTGGGTACAAAGGAGCATCCGCCCACACTTACAACTAGGTCTGTACCTGAGGGTCATAGAAAATTAGACCAACTGTTACCTGAAACAAATTCCACCTACTCTGAGGGGGGGAAAGGCAAGAAGGAAGGCTGGGATGGAGACACTCCTCATTCTCACTTTATTTAAAAACATGATCTAGTAAAAGCCGTGTACAATTACTGAGCACTTACATGCCACATTGAGTGTAACTGCACACGTGCTAACTCACTTCATCCTCAAAGAACCCTATGTAATTTTAACTACTATCCTCTCATTTTATCGTTAATACAGAAGTCCTCAGAAACTAAGAAAACGGACAAGATCACACAATTGGTAAGGCGCAGAGCCAGGTTCCATCCCAGGCAGAGTGTGCAGGCTCCTGTCCTCTGCTCCTGTGTGACAGCCAGGAGCCCGGAACTGTGAGGCCAGTCCAGATGCTGCTTCTACTCTCTCTCTCTGAGGCTCGGTTTCCTACCCATCCCACCAAACCTGCACAAGGGATGAGAGAATCCTTTCATATCTATAGATAGAGCCATGTCTTAGCTCTACACGCAAGGAACATGGAAGTCTTTTGGCCATTTGTGATTGCTTCTCTCATCGACTCGGTGGGCAGGCATTTACTGATCACTTACTCTGCACAAAGAAATAAAGAGCAGGGAGGTCTACAGAGATGAAAAAGACATGGCTTCCATCCTCAAGGTCACCGGCCTTAAAGGAGGCAGGGAGCTATTGTGGGACATAATCATCCCACTAGGAACTGAGTGCCTTCACCGGATATAATGTAACTTGCCGGCTGCAGGCAGTGTGCCCCTGCAGGACCTAACAGGCTTGCAAGGAGCAAGTGTGCAGTCATGGGATATGAGTGACAGGCACTGAGAGGTGCCTTCATTCAAGTGATGGCCTGGCCAGGCAAATCAGGCCACAGGCGTGACACTGCTTCCCCCCCTACAGTGAGGAGACTGGGGCCGGTGGGGTGCTGATAACACCGTGAGCTCCCAGGTCTCTCAGGCGGAGTCTGCACTTTGTATTTCTGCCCTGCACAGGAGCTCTGCTCACACGTTCTGCAGAGGTGTGACGCTTTCTCTCTTTGGGGAAGCAATTTAAACGGTGGAGTCAACAGGCCCAGTACAAATCCCAAACTCACTACTTACTGGCGGTGCAGCCCTGGCATATTCATTACCCTCCGAGCTTCCAACTCCTCCCCTATACAACGGGGCTCGTCTTCTGGACCTCAGTCCTGCCAGGATTAAACGAATCATCATATGTAAAGTGCCTGGCACACGGTGGTGAAGGAGCTGGGTTTTGGAATCAGACAGCACTGAGTTCTAATGTTCTCTCCCCCACCTGCGAGGGAGTGAGGCCCTGAGCAGTAACTGAAGCATCCTAGACCTTAGCTGCAAAATGCAGAGCTGACATGACTCAAGACACGTAAAAGCAGTTAGAACACCATCCGGTTCGTGGTCGGTGCTCAATAAACATCAATCGCCCTCTTCCCAAGATGTACGCCGGCCAGGAACATTTATGCAATTCTTTCTGCGATTTTTATGTGCCGGGCATCGTTCCAGATACGAGTGATTTAAACAGTTTACAAAAAAAACAAAACAACCCTGCGTGTGGCTCATCTTCATGTCTTAATAAGTATTTATGAATATTGAATGCGTGCCGGGGAACTAGACAATCACCTCTCCGGACCTCCTTTTGACAGGGAAGGTAACTAAGAAAAATGAATACAAGCCAACCCAGCGCCACCGCCCCGGGGGTAGGTTCTCCCAGCAACGGGGTGGGAGGGGGCGTGGGCCAAATTCTCGGCCGGCTTCTCCCTCCTCCTGCGGTCGGGAATGGCCATCAACGACCCGGCGGCCCCGTGGTGGGGTCCCTTATTTGTACCATGACCATTTAGTCTCGCTTTATATAAACTTAAATCTCCCTTCCTCATGCAGGGATCTAGAACCAGGAAACTACTTATAGGAACATTCAGAGATCTCTATTCAACATCTGGTTGCCCTGGGAAAACTTCACACTCAACCTAAGGAAAAAAATATTTGTGGCAAGTTATCCTCGGTACCCGTCACCGCCACGACCTCCCTCAGAGCCTCCTGCCTCTCCGCCATTTTCGCCCGGTGTGCTCCCCAAACCGCTCCGGTCGTCGCTGCACAGTCTCAGTCGCTCCCTCGCGTTCCGGCCGCGGGTGGGTCCGGCCCAGCTGAGCGGCGCCCGCCCCCAGGCTCCGCCTCACGCGGTGCCTCCGGGAAAGCCTTCCG